TCGTTTCTCTACACTCACAATACGAAACACAGCAGCGTTAAGCTGCTATTTTACGCTGGTATTCTGCGAGAGCGTGGTCCTTCCCCGGTCGAGCCGACCCATTCGTGCTACAACTATACTACCAATATAGCTGCAGCATGGCTGTATCACGTGTTAGAATTGTTATCTACGTACGTATTACAATTTTTATCTACTACGTACGTTTGAATGTAATGGACTTTAGTAATTCAGTTTAGACCTTCAATAATGTAATTCAGTTTCCTGACGTTTAAACAATTTTAAATTTCACGGACGTATTTTAAACCAATGTACAATAGGTAGAACAATAATTGGGAAGAAAGGCAAATTATGTAGGTACATAAATCACACTAAAAGCTGTTTACAGTAGTATTTCTGTTCACTGCTTACTCATACTGAGTATTAGTGTGCATAAGCAGTGAAGTATTATGTTTGTATTCTTGCCGTGGAAGTTCAGGTGTTATATGTCCTTATTTAATGACCTAATAATAACATATCTCCGTCGTTAATTCATTTAATTATTATAACCTATTAAAGTCCATTGCTGAACAGAAGTCTTGGCAGGCGGGTTGGCAACTGTAGTTTTTTATTATTTTCAGTTGTATCAGGAAGATGCTGCTGCCCATCTCTTGTTTCATTTCCCTCTGGTTTTTTTATAGGAGAAGGGTGACAAACGAGCACACAGTGAAATGTGTGCTCGTTTGTCACCCACTTACCATCAGGTGAACCTGATGGTAAGTGGTTGCTGTGGCTCATAGACATCTACATCTATCCTCGTTTGCGAATCAAAATGCAGATGCGTCGTCAGCCGTGAGGACTAAGATGGAATGCCTTTTTTCTAGTAACAAGCGTATTCGATTCTCTACACTCACCATACGAAACACAGTAGCATGAAGCTGCTATTTTACGCTGGTATTCTGTGAGAGCGTGGTCCTTCCCCGGTCGAGCCGACCCATTCGTGCTACAACTACTTATATACAATTTATATAGCTGCAGCATGGCCCTACCACGTAATTAAGACTCTGTCTCCTCTTACCGACAACCACGGAATGGTATATGGATAATGGATTTTACCACGTCGCCACTACACATTGATCGGCGATTGCGATGATCTCCATCGGCACCATTAAAATTGTCAATTGCAGTCTTACTCCCTTACCATAATGAAGTATAGAAACGTGAAGAAACTTGTATGACCGAAAAAATGAAACACATTATGTCGTATTTTGATGAAACCTTAATCGCGTCAACATGGTTTGTCCAACACGACGTACACATGTTTACTTTAAAACCATCTCAGATATTTTTTTTATTGGCCCTAGTAGTAGGTGCCTAGTGCAAATTAATAGGACATAATATCTATTAATAAATATTTTTAAGTAAACACAAGCATAATTTAATATTAAAAATTTTGTACAACCGACTTCCATATAGATTATTAAGAATAACTCAAAAACTATTGGTACCACGTGAGAAGCACCAGCTGTCAAATAAAAAAGAATCATCGATCAAATCAAAACACATAAAAAATATACAGTCGAATTGAGTAAGTACCTCCTCCGTTTCGAAGTCGGTAGAAAAACAGAAATTAGTTTTCTTACTCTACGCTCTTAATGTAGGTAAAATCTGATGCAATGAGGTCCGTGATTGAATCTACGACTTTTTCTGCCACATTCGAAAGAGGGGAAACATTTGACAGATTTCATAGTGGGGCAATTAATTTGTTAGGAAAATGTTAAGGTTAATGTTTCTTTCTGTAATATTAATTAAATTTTATATTAATTAAATAAAAAATTAATAAACCAAACTATGCATATTCCGAAAAGTAGAAAAATTAAAAAAAGACTTAAAATGTGCAGAAAAATTTAAAAGCTTACCATTGATGCATTGTTTTGCGTATTAGTATAATATCTACACATAGATTAATGATAGGTCATCGCGCGCTCTGACTAGATACCGCGCTACCTGAAAGAAACAGCTCCGTGAATGCAGCAACTCAATATTCTAGTGTGTATAAGACAATTGCCAGGATGCTAGTGTGCGTGAAATATTGTATATGCCAGCAGCTTAACTATTACCCGATTAACGGGAAAAATTATTTTATGCTATGACTAAGTTCATAGTTATGAATGTAGACCAGAAATACTTAAAAATTAATAATTTATTAATAGCGAATGTATCAATATATTTATGTATATTATGTATAGGTTTTTCTCTGAATAAATGGCATATAAATGATAAGGCCTCATTTTTATCTGTTTAATTTTTATATTTAAATGTCTGACTAATATTCACAAATTATTTAAAAAAATAGTTATATATTATATGGTGTAAACAAAATTTTATTTTTATTATATGTTGTTATAGCAATAATAGCCAATACACATTCTGTGAAAATTTCAAGTATCTACATATTACGGTTCATAAAATACAGCCTGCTGACAGACAGACGTAACAATAGTGGAAACTTAAGTCCCGTTGACACTCTTTTGGCACGGAACCCTAATAAAAGGAAATAATGTATTAATAATAAAAATAACAATTAATAAAACAACATATAAATATTAGGTCAATTTGAGCAATACTACAAAAATAAACATTAAATAATATAGAATAAGGTTATATTATAATAAGTAAAATATATTATATTATAGAATATAGTAACAATAAATTCACATATAAATATCTCAGCCACCGGGAACTTTATTTTTGTATACGTGGCAACACTGAATGGCGTCTTTCATATTTTGTAACTTATTTATGGCTCGTGTTATTTTATGTTGAAATTTCGAAATTGTATGATACTTACTGATAGTATGTGATCCCAGTGTCTTTCTTATTTCTTGTAGTATTATTTTTACACAGTTTCACTACGCAAACTGGTATTTTACTTCGGATTATGATCAAAATTTAATAAAATATTCGGTACGTCCACATCACATATCACCTGCAACGCGACCGGCTCGGGTACGCCGATTTCGGCGTAGTATTTGTTGCCGCATTTTACAAGAGCTCCGGCGGTCCGCATTTTACAAAAGCTAAGCCAGCGGGCCAAACCACCGTCGGCTGCATAACCACTTACCATCGCATGGGATACTATTGACGCACTGGCGTATAGTAGTTACAATTTCTCACAGTTTAGAGAAAACCTATATCCTGAATAGGAAATTATAAAGCATGATGGTGTTTACATGTGTTGACTGAGAGTAAATAACCACATTATCGTGTACCTAGTGGCGGTGAAAGAAGAAAGAAGAAAAATCCAATACCCCGTATCGATCCGTGAGTGTGGTATGAGGTGACAGAGGGACACGAGCCAGGAAATGGGCAGCAACGTTTATATAATAAAAAAACTGCGATTGCTTACTACGTTATCAACCGTGCCAACTATAGCAGTAAGCCTCTAGGAGGCAATCTATGGGATAGAGACTTTTCATAGGCTGCAATGGTAATGACAATGATGAATTTCAATGTCTGTATGTCTTGTGTGAATCTACATAATTAACTTCTATTTTAACTTAAAATGAATAATCGGCTAAGTTTTAAAAATTACTCGAAGTAGCATATTCAATGTTTATGATGTATTTATCGAGGATTTTTTTTTATAGGAGAGGGGGCAAACGAGCAAGCGGCTCACCTGATGCTAAGTGACTACCGCCGACCATTAACAACCGCAACACTAGGGGAATTGCAGATGCGTTGCCGGCCTTTTAAAAAGGAGTAGGCTCTTTTCTTGAAGGTCCCTAAGTCGTATCGGGCCGGAAAAATCGCTGGTGGTAATCGATTCCACAAGGAAGTTGTGCGAGGAAGAAAACATCTTCTAAATCGCACAGTGGTGGACCGATGCATCGGTCCACCATGGATGTTATCGCAAGTTTTATCGCGATGTGCGATAGTGAAATTGAGCGGCTAGAAATAGTCCGAACAATTCAACAAGTCAACTACCCCATTCAAATTGAGATTTAGTAGCATAATTAAACTTAAAAATGATTTTTTTGTCACCTATTATAGGTATCTAACTTCAATACGAGAGTACAAGAGGCCGCCAATCATGTAACGCGTCAAAAATCATCCAATAAAACACCTAGCCTCAGCAATTTAATGACTGTAATATACAACTTAATTACACCATCATTATAGTAGTGATCTGTAAAAAAAATCAAGTTTCCGAACGAGGCCGTTCAATAATTCATCAAGATGGCGTCTGTCTATCAATATAATAATTCTGTCAAAGTTTAATTGAAATTCCGTACCGCGGCCGCTCAAAAGCAGCGCGCAGTATTATTGATACATTACGAGCCCGCAAAAGAGCCATAGCAGCAATTTACAACTGAATTACAAATCTCTACCAGGCCCACTAAATACACAATCAGGTTAAATCAATTGTCGTCTCTCTGTCTTCTTCTAACTTTTGGATGTCACGCGAGAGAGAACGTAATGAAAGATGTACGATGGCGTTTCTGAGCAATGAAAAGCGCGAGCGGTCGCCGCCTACAAACCGGCTGGGGAAGGGAAAAAAGCTTGTTTATTCGGGGGCGTGTCCCCCATGGTCCGTGCAGGGCGCAGTCGCTCGGCCGCCGCCGCCGCGAGCGCAGTCCGATGTCAGTGTCAAACTTAAATTGACGTTTCAATTTGACAGCCGTGGCTGTCCATCACGCGTCCTTTGCCTCGATTAAATAAAAAAACAACGAGTGTATACCGATACGGACTGATCTATGATACAATGATGGAATTAAGAAATCATGCCGGCGAGTTCGTTCAGAAATAACTTGATACATATTAATGAAATATTCAAAACCCGTGTCAACTGTGCCTGACATTCAAATAATCGTCGCCGGGGACATTAATGCGTATGTTTAAATGAATTTCTAACGTGTACCGACTGCATAATCAATTTGGCTAGCATTGTGTTTGGTTTTAAGAAAGATCGCGTCGATATATCGATTGAAATCGAATAAATAGAACTACTGGAAAGACAGAATATGGCGTTCGAAGATCGTTGTAGCCCGAATCAGGCCAACAGTCCTGGACCGGTGACGGGAAGGGTACCTGCCCCTCATGCAGAGAATGCCACCAACTACTGCCCACCGAGTCAGTATACATGTACAACGATCGATGTGAGGTACGATAGAAACTCTTCTAACATGACCATGATAAAAGTCCAACTGAACTCTCCACCACCGAGCCCCGAACAACACCAAAATGAAATAGAATACCAAAACTACTATAGACCAGAAACGCCGGACGTCAAACCAGTTATAAATCCCGCTGAGCGATTCGATCTGGACAAACGAGGTCGCCAGCAGCCGACGGCAACCATAGCCTTTTCAATTAGCAATATATTACACCCTGAATTCGGTTTGAATGCAATAAGAAAAACAAACAAAATCGAAGGTCCGAAGCCCGTCGGGCCAAACCACAGTATTTTGTACAAACCTTACGATTTATCGAAACAGACCGAATATCAGAAATATAGTTTTGATTATTTAAAGTCTAAGGAGCCGAGCGAATTCGCCAGCTTGCCGCCGCTGGGCGGGCTACGACAGACGGTGTCGCAGATAGGAGAGATACAGAAAGAGAGAGAAATACCAAAGACAATAGAATTACAGAAGAGACCAGACTCAGCCAGCTCTATAGTGTCATCAACGTCGAGCGGCGCGCCCTCTACCTGTGGGAGCACCGATACCAATAGTCAGACTTCACCCGGAAACGCTACGTTATGGCCTGCCTGGGTTTACTGCACTAGATACAGCGACCGTCCAAGTTCTGGTAAGTTATATCACTTATGCTTTTAAAATATTTTTAAGCATTTTAACTTACTTAATATCAAGCTTATTATATTTCTCAAGGTGTAAAGAGCATGAGAAGATGCACAACTCTTCTTGCTTATTATTAACTTATCTAATCTTATCCCCAAAGGCTTTTTATTTTATTCTTGTGTATGCAAATGCTATATAATTATTTTTAAATTTATTTTTAGTGCGTTTGTTGATTTTTGTTAATTCACTTTATTCCTTTTTTTTTGTTTGTAAAATTTTAGTCTAAAGTGTTATGTAGAGCAGCCTCTTTAATAGTGGCGCAACGTAGTGTTAGAACTGCTTAAGTTGTTACCAATTAGACGCGGCCTTCTCAGTCCGTTGCCCCAGCCACGCCAAGAAAAAAAGGGCGTGTGTCAGGATATGTTACGGGAAACGGACAATTTAGCGAATCTATTATTTGTCGATTATTACAGTTTTAGCACAATTAGTAACTGTAATATTTGTTGGAAAAAAAATTAGGTTTGTAGGTTATAATGAGGTTGCCAGATGCATTAAGGTAATAATTTCGTGTTTGTATAGTAATGGATCGGCTTCGCCTGCGTTTAATATAAAAAATTTAATCACCAGAATTGCATTTAATTTAGTTAATTATGTGAGTCGCTAATTTAAAATTCTGTTGTTTTCATCCGACATGTAGATATATTTGTTTGGTTATTAGACGAGGTCTCTTTAGCTTTTTAATGGATATCATCACGTTAGTGACTCAGGATATAAACCAGACATTTATTATGTAAAAAACGTTGATAATGTCCGTTGTATTTCCTATAAATACTTTATTGTCTTTTTTATTATTTTAATTTTACTCTTTGTGTATACAAAAATACACAAAGAGTATAATTTACGAATAAACTACAGTCTGTATATTTTTTACTATAAATATTAATGAATGTATTAAATGTTGATACATGTGAGTAAGAACTGGTAATCTAATGCAAAAAACAAAGTTACCGCCATCGTTACCGCCACGGTTACCGCTACAGCCTATATCAAAAGTTAATTTTTTTTTATAGGATCGGGTGACAAATGAGCACACAGTCCACCTGATGGTAAGTGGTTACTGTGACCCATAAACATCTACATCTATCCTCAATAAAGACTCAAGATGCAGATGCGTTGTCACCCGTGAGGACTAAGATGGAATGCCTCTTTGCCAGTAAAAAGGGTCTCCGGTTCTCTACACTCACCATACGGAACACAGCAGCTTAACGTGTTTCTCACAGAAAACCAGCGTAAAATAGCAGCCTATGATGGAGGCCTGTGTCAATGCTGGACACAGGCCTCCATCATAGGTTGCTTGGCAGGCAGGTTGGCAACCGCAGTTTTTATTTTTAGTTGTTTTTAGGTAGACGCCGCTGCCGAACTCTACTTAACGACAGATACACTTATTGGTCCTATACAACCCAAATTAGTAACTCGGATGCAGCGTCAAAAACACAGATACAGATAAACTAAAAATAAGCCGTCGTATAAAAGTTGGCCTCGTAGGAATAGGTGGGTACTTCAACCAGGAAAGCCACGCTGTCATCCACAAACAATTGATTTACAAACAAAACGCAAAATAAGTAGTTTTAATACATTTTATCTATCTTTACGCCCAAGTTAGATAGATATAATGCATTAAAAATTAGACAAAGTTTACAAATTGAATTACGGATATTCACAATTACCTACGGGCTTCGACATAACTATGGTTAATATTTTCTTTGGATTAAGTAACCTGTTAAGGTCACAACAAAAGATTTTTACGTGGTAGTGCCATGCTGCAGCTGTTAGTAGCATAGTTGAAACACGAATAGGTCGGCTCGACCGGGGAAGGACCACGTTCTCATAGAATACCAGCGTAATTTTTTTTTATAGTAGAGGGGTCAAACGAGCATGCGGCTCACCTGATGGTAAGTGACTACCGCCACCAATAAACAATAAAAATACAGAAATAGCACAGAAAAGTAAAAAAAAAGTAAAGTAATACTACAGAATAGTAGCTTAACGCTGCTGTGTTTCCTATGGTGAGTGTAGAGAACAGGAGACTCTTTTTACTGGAAACGAGGCATCCCATCTTAGTCCTTACGGGTTACAACGCATCTGCCTTTTGATTCGTAATCGAAGATAGATGTATATATTTATGGGCCACAGCAACCACTTACCATCAGGTGGTCTGTGTGCTCGTTTGTCATCCTAATACTATAAAAAAATTAGTTAAATAATTTAGCTATCTCAATTTCCTACACAATCGTTATCCAAAGTTTAGGACTGGCCGTAAAATTACATTGTAGAGAAAAAAAATGAGCGCGCGGAATGGAAGCGTTTGGAGAGTTTGAGGCCCTTTTTGCAATCACAAATAAATCACTTGCGTGAAAAAAGCAATTAATTTTAGTTTGATTGCTATTCCCGTATGATATTCGCGTGCAGTTTGCGTTATGTTATCTAATAATATTAACTATGTAATAATAACGCTTTTATGTTTAGATTGTTATCGGTGGGTATAACAAATATTATGAAGAATTGTAGTTCGTGGCAAAACATTTATTTATTTTATATCTAAATAAATTCGTGTTATTTTTAATTAGTATTTAGGTACAGTTTTTATTTATAATATTAATAAAAAATGATATTATAATAATTATTTGTCTTTTCCATTTATTTTATTTATAGTTTGAATATATTTTTTATACTTTTGTGCGTTTTGTGTTTTTTAGAATATGTATGTATGTTCGTACGCTTTACGCCTACGAAAATTGAAAAAAGTATCGGCGGAATTTTAAACGGTATAACATTTAATAAAAGAACACTTTAGCAAGTATAATGGTTGTTGTCACCTCGCACTGAACAGCTGGTGTTTTGTTATTCAAAATCGTGTTCTTTTCTTTTGATGTTTGTATCTCGGGTGCATTCATAAATTAGTAGGCAAACGGTGCTTTATAAATCTGTCGCAATAATTTAATTTCTGTCAACTTACCACAGACTGTAAAGGAACGTGCAAACTTTTTTATTTGGTTTTTTGGCGGGCTGGAAGCAGTGAAGGCATTTTCATTTATTTTTTTACTTAATGAAATGGCTTATTGTATATTGCTCATAAATAACTTTAAGATTTAATTATAAACATACTCGTAACATGTATGAACTGATTTATGTGTAGTTTAATATTAACATTTTCGTATTTATAATATCTTGGTTCTTACGTTAAAATAAACTTATATGACATGCGATGGATGCAAGTGGCTCAGGACTGTGTTTTGTGGCGTTCTTTGTGGGAGGCCTATGTTCAGCAGTACACTATGTTGCAATGAGGATAAAATTCATTGTAAACTTATCTAAATGTTTTCTAGGTGTTTTCTAAATAAGTAGAAAACGCAAAACATGACTTTTTTTATAACACTTCAAATCTTAGCCTGGGAACACATTTACTATTTTAGACCTTCTTGCGTATAGCATCGTTTAAAGTAGGTGCAATTCTGTCATGTGCGGCGATATATGCAAAAAATGTATCTTTGGGAGAGGCCCGTGTCCAACACTGGAGTAATTACGACTCGATGCTAATGAAATATTTTAGGACGCAATGGGTCCAAACGACCGTGTATAACTTTATTTATGATTACTTTTATGGCCGAGCCTTAATTAATTCAAGTCAAATTAGGCGGACTATAAAATACATCGTAAAGGATTCTTTTCGGCCCGCGATTGAGTTTTATTTATTTTAGTTATTATAAGAGACTAGGATCGCCTTTGATACTTATACATTAGAGGAGCAAATGTAGGTTTGAAGACTTTATAATGGCCAGTTTGTCACGGCTTTTTAAAGGGAGTGATCTGAGGTGTGCGTTAAAAAACGGATTATTAATAATAATATTAAAAATAAAAACATTAATATAAACAACTTATACTTTTTTTAATGAAATTTATTGCCAGATGATAAAATATTATTTAGGGCTGACTTTTCAATAGTCAAACATAAGTTATCCGTCGAGTAAATTATAACCTGACTGTATATAAATGTGAAAGAATCGAACCATTTTATTCATACCGACTGTCATTTTTAATTTATTTACGTTGTATTTTTGACCCTTGATCATACGTAAAGGCAATGTTTACTTGCTTATTAATGGGTCATTGAAATTTCCTTTTACGTGCGGTTTCTCGTTGAACAGAAGTTTTTCAATGAGATAATTTAATTTTTTTGCTTATTACATTGAATTAAGGAACCGTTAAACGAAGTGTCATTAATAATTTTAAAAAAATCTTTCGATGATAGGTGTCAATAAGAAGCTGTAAGATGTCTTACGATAGGTATTGAAAAAATGCCACGGAGATGGATAAATAGCCTGTTTCAGATTTAGATCAATACATTAAGGGTTAGGCATTGTGGATTAGATAACTTCAAAAATATGAATATATACTAAATGTGTTTTTAATTTATGAATACTTTTTGTAATAGTTATTTTGTCCGATTTTCTGGTAGCCTCTTTGACCTCGATGCCTTCCTTTTGCGATGTGTTCTATCAAATCATGCAAGTCTGAATTTCGTCCAGACTGCAAACTTCCTGCAGCATCGGTGTTCCACACCAGCTGTATGATCTTTTACGCGGGTTTTAATCGTTTCTTGGCTTCGAGCCTGTGCTCACTTGTGGGACGTATATAGGCTGGAAGTGTACTTCCCTAACGATTTTAGAAATTCAACTTGGGTGACTCCGCAGTGGTAGAAATGGGTACAAAGTCAGTAACTTTTGGGATTCGAACACAAAACTCGCGTTTTAAGTCAAACACTCCTAACAAATTTTATTTTTCTACTTTTTCGTTTATTCATTAATTACAGCCTATCAAAAGTCTGGTGCGTTTCCCCCATAATTACCGTATAGGATACCTCATAGTTTTCCATAGTTGCCACGCTTGGCACGCTAGTTGGCAACTGCAGTTTTTTTAATTATTTTTGGTTGTTATCAAGCTGCTGTTGTC